TTTTCATTACCAAATAAAACTCAGATGTTGAAAGCAAGACAAAAATGTATTTATACTGAAAAAATGCAGCATTATACCTTTGGAGTGAGCTCTGTAGGTAGGATGGTTCTTACCTTTCATCCTGAATAATAATTTACGTTTTTACCAAATAAGGTTATATTAGTTTTATAATAATACATTTTTAAAGACTAGCTAAAGTTAAATCCATTAGGGCTAAAAAGTATTCAAGTTACAAAATTTATCTATTTTTTTTTAACTATCTGCTGAAGTTGCACAGCTCTGGATCTACTTAGGAGGTGCATGAGCTGTGGCCCCTCTACTTTAAACCAGATGCCTAGCACAGTACCTAAAACATTCCAGAATAAATATTCAAAATTATGAATGCCCTTTGTGTTCATTAAAAATGCTTTTTACTTTAGACAATATTTTTAATTTTCATATACTTGATCTCTTTTGATCTTCATTACAATCCTGTATCATAAACAAGAACTAATGTTCATTCACGTTTACATGGTACAGAGGAGGAAAATGAGACCAAGAAGAATTAGGTCTTTAATATGGCCTTTTAAATACATTAACTTTCATTCTTAACAGAGTAATCTTCCAAAAAGGAGTCTAACGCACCATTCACAAGGCTCAGAATTCACTTACCTGGTATGTCCTAAAGATTCCCGCCATATTGGTAGCATCACAACTGGTTTAACTGCACACTCCAAAATTGCTAAGGCCAACGCAAATTCTCTGGGTTTGCTACACATCTGAACTGCCTTGATCCAATTTGCCCTACATTTCAGAAGGAAAAGAAATTATTTCACTTCGTTGATCTTAAATTACATGCACAAGGCACCTCCATCTCATAAGGCATATGTTTCTAGGCTAAGTAGGTGTAAATACACTGCTATTGGAAGTTTCTACACAGAATCACAAATTGTGAACATTGGAAGGAATCCCAGATGTTAATTAGTCGTGCAACTCCTTAAATCTTCTACAGTGTTCTGGAACTTTGTCTGGCCTCCACCTGATTCCAGGGATAAAGGCTCTGCTTTCCAGAAATCTCCCAAACGTCAGCGTTGGTTCAGTAACTGAGAAACACACTCATATCCCACTGTCCTCTGTGTTTTGCTGACTAGACTGACTTCATTCAATTCATTGGTAATGACCGTTTACAGTATGCACCTGCAATCATCATTTGGTAAACATTTAGTATATTCGCAGAAATAAATGAACCTTAGTTCCCTTTACCTGTGGGAAGCCCAATTGGGATGAAGAAAGGACGAAGGGATATTGTTTTCCAGTTGGGTGATGGTCAGTCTCAGAGTAGATATTGTAAGAACTTTGGACCCGTGGACAGAACCGTTCCATTTGAACTCTCCTGCTGGAGTCAGACAGAATTTATGTGCAAGATGCCTTCTCTTGTCATGGTCTTCTCTGTGCTGGTGCTTATTCAAAGCAAATGAATTGGTGGAGTATTGATTGTGGTAGACACGATACTTCCCTTCTTGACCCAACTTAAAATAATTGTTGATATTTCCTTTCATGACCACTTCCTTTTTGGTACTCAGCCGTGAAATTTCTCCTTGAGAGTTAACTACCAGTACCTGACCAAGAAAATAAAAAGACTCTCTTATTCATATCAAATATGCAAATGTGATCAATTGTCTTTACATTCCAAATAAGATACACCTTATGACTGAACTTTTGCAGTTTAAAAGCTAAAGCTAATTGACTATAATTAAACCACTAAGGGCCGGCCGAGT